TATATCTACCACTAACCAAGAAAACCTGGCCGTTCTCCCATCCACTACCTGGAGACGCGCACAGTAGGCACTCAACCGCTGAGTAAATCATCTATATACCATACGAGCTGTTGTAGCTTTATATTCAAGATTTTTGAAATGTTAATTCCACGTCATCCGTTGGTCAAATATGATTTAAGTTTAGTATTTTCGATGGTATTTTAACTTTGTAATATTGGACTTAATGATTTATTTTCAACCGTAATTTGTGTACAATATTTATAATAGTAAAGTTTAACACAAAATCAATTAAACAATAGATCCATCTTCAACAATTATTTTAGCATTATTTAACTACTTTTAATTATTGTTTTACAAATATTTCAATAATAACATTATTTCTATTAAAAAAATGTATATGGAAGAAAGAAAATATTCGGTAAGATGATGAAATTAAAGTGTACGCGTACCTATCTCATATTGTTTTACTTTCAAAGCAATCCATCTTTGTCACTATTTTCATTATTTCAGATGATGTTTCGTGCAATCATTTTATCGAAACGAGGCACATTTGGCAACGATGCAGCTATTTATTTCCATAAACACGTTCAACAGAAAAAGTGATATCAGGTAAATGTATGTAATGCAAATATTGCTTTTATATTTAATCATTTTACTGTGAAATTTATTTAAATTTTTAAAAAATCATCAACAGTATTACAGTCGATAAATATTTTTTTGTAAATTAGTCCAGATCTAAAGGATTTTTATACAATTTGAAAAAATAATTAATATTATAAAAAAAAGAGAATAATTTTGTTAAAATAATTCTACAGTAAAAGCATCGTAAAATAAGATGAAAGGCTGAATTTTTGATGTTTTTAGGGGTCTAAAAGGTAAAACCCATAATAAATTTAATAAGCCAATTTCTTTCAGGTAGAGGACAAAAGGTAAAATTAAAAAAAAAAAATTCCTACGATCACTTATCGCATATATCGCACTTTTTATGGAATGTGGGTATAGATAAGAATCTAGTCTTCACCAGTGTGTGAAAAATCAAAAATAATTTTAAAGTTTACTGCATAATTTAACAAGAAATTTGACCGATATTGTGTAATAAAAAGACAGACTGAGTAAGTTTTAAAACTAAATTTAGTAATGGAATTGAACTAAGTGCACTACTAAAAACAAAATAACAACTAGAGTATGAGCTGGAAAAATTTGTCATTGACATACAGCAATCATCATGAAACAATTCACCAGAAATTACAAGAAAAAATGGCCAAATCACTGGATTCCCTGAAGATAAAGTAGTTCTCAACACATTAACTAAAACGATAAATAAACACTATTAAAAATGAATCCATAGAAACATATCTCAGAAAGATGACGAACGTTAAAAATACTGATTACTCTCTGTGGAAAGCAATTAGGAAACTTAAACGGCCAATAGTCCAAATACAACCAATAAAAAAAAGACAACGGAAACTGGGCAAGGCCAAACAAACAAAAAGCTGACATATTTGCAGATCTCGAAAAATTTTTTTAACCAAATGAAGAACGAGGACTCGACTTATTAAAGTAAGAGAACACAAACATGCACTAGAGTAGCGCCTCAAGAGGTAGCTAAGTAAATCAAAGAAAATATGAATTCTAAGAAAACAGTTGCCAAGAATAGTTGTGGTTAAACTTACTAATATAAGAAACGCTGTATTTCGACTAGAGCATGTACCTAGCATCTGGAAAGACACTAAAATTATAATGATACCCAAACCTGGAAAACCACCAAATAAAGAAAAGTCTTATAGACCTATATCCTTGTAACCAGTGTTATCTAAACATTTCGAAAAACTATTACTAAAAAGATTAAAACCACTGATAGACAGTAAAAATTTAATATCTGACCACCAATTTGGATTTAGAAACAAGCATTCCACTATTGACCAAGTCCACAGACTAACGAATAAAATAGAGAAAACACTGGAAGAAAAGAAGATCTACACCTCGCCCTTTTCAGATGTAGCTCAGGCTTTCGATAAAGTATGGTTTTATCTGAATTGGGGCGTGGTTCAAAGCCCACTTGTACTGAAGCTCTAGGCTTATTGTACCCCTCACAGTTTCTATCCTATCAGATTGATTTTCTTGATGAATTCAAGAATATGTCTGATGGGCGCTTTCGCGATTTCTTCAGGTTCCGGATATTGTACCCCGAAGTACCATTCCCGTTCCCATTTAAGGTTCCGGCAGTGGCATAGTATGTGAATAGGAGTTTCGTCCTCCTCTTTACATATTCTACATAGGGAGTCATCAGATATCCCTAAGAGATTTAGGTGTCTTCTAAGGCCGCAGTGTCCCGTAAGGAGTCCTATTACGGCCTTGAGTTCGCTTCTGCTAAGGTTTAGCAGTTGATGTTGTCTGCTCGTGGATGGCCCCTCCATGAATCTTTTGGACTGTCTAAGTCCAGAAAGTTCCATCCAGAGCCTATGGTGTTCTCTTTTTATTTGTTCCTTTAACACCCATTTAAGATGTTGGTATGAGGTACCACATGTGGGTTCTGGTGCAATAAGAGTTTATTCCGCTCCCTTACTTGCTAGGAGGTCTGCTTTCTCGTTTCTAAACAATCTCTCATGTACTGGCACCCATTTAAGTGTGACCTTGTTATGTTCTGCCAGAGCCTGGAGGGACTGTTGGCAATCAAATATTGATTTAGATTTTACTTCTACCCTTTTTAGTGCTTTAAGGGCTGCCTGACTGTCTGTCATGATAACGATCCTCTTATCTCTAAGAGAGTCATTTAGCATGACTTTGGCTCAGGCATTTATTGCTGTTACTTCAGCCTGGAAGACTGTTGTTAGTGACCCCAGGTTCAAACTATTTGTCCTCCCTGAGTTCACATGGTAGATCCCAGCTCCTGTGCTGTTTTTCATTTTCGAACCGTCTATATACCAGATTGATTCGTTTTATTTTTCTCTATTTTCCCGGATTTTAGTCCTTTCTGGTATTTGAATATCAAAAGGTTTCCTGAAGTCGTGACTCATGGGCGTTCTATCCGATGGCATTCTTAGTACCGGATTTTATTTTAATTTCTCTAATAACATTGTGTGGTGTTATTTTCTCGACAGTTCCCATCCGAATCCATCAGTAAACAGCCTGTTTGCCGCCGCCATAGCCTCTTTCTCCACCACAAGGTATAGTGGAGGAAGACCTAGCAGTAGCTCCATTGCTGCTGTGGGCGTAGTTCTAAATGCTCCTGTTATTATTAGACAGGCTAGTCTTTGTACTTTGTCTTATTTTCTGTTAGCTGTTATGCTTTTAGTCTTGTGCCACCATATGACTGATAAGTAAGTTATGACAGGTACTATAACCATAGTGTAAAGCCAGTGCATCATACTTGGTTTAAGCCCCCATGCGTTCCCTACCATCCGTCTACAGGCCCTTAGTATTCTTACAGCTTTTTCTGTTGTTTTTTCTATATGGCTGTATGGCTGTAGAGTGTTTCCAAGATATTTAACCTCCTTTGCCATTTTTCGATGTTGTCCCCACATATAAAGCTCCTTCATTCCTAGAAGGTTTCTTTTTCTTGTGAATTCAACAACAGAGGTTTTTGTCGGGTTTGTGGACAATCCCTCTTTTAGGCACCATCTTTCAACGATATTTATTGCCCGCTGCATCCTTTCGGATACAACAGTCCCAAATTTACCGTTTACTACGATGCTTATGTCGTCTGAAAATGCTTGCGTGTGTAAGTTTTCTCTCTCTAACTCCCATAAGAGGTCATTAACCACCAAGGTCCACATAAGAGGAGATAACACTTCTCCCTGCGGGCATCCCTTGCTAACTGAGACTTCTCTTGTTGTGTTAAGGAAATTACTGGTAATGGTTCTATGATTAATCATGAACTCCACCCACCTCGTAATACAGTGGGCTACTCCATGCCTTTGCATAGATCCCAGTATTGAATTGTATGAAGCCGAGTCAAAGGCTTATTCTATATCTAGCAAGACTCCTAGTGCTATTGTTTTGCTTTCCAATGCTTATTCAGCTTGTTGACTTAGCTTATGTATGGCTGCATCGCAAGACTTTCCAGATTAATAGGCAAACTGGTATCGATGTATCGGTTTATCCCGTAGAACATCGTCCCGTACATATCTATTGATCAATGTCTTCAATGTTTTTAGGAGAAATGACGTTAGGCTGATTGGTCTGAAAGATTTGGTCTCCTCGTACGACGTTTTCCCGGGTTTGGGAATGAAGACCACTCTTGCACATTTCCAGCTTTTTGGAACATATTCGAGGGCTATGCTAGCTCGGAATAGTTTACACAGTGGTCCCTTCAGTACTTCCTGGCCCTTTTGTAGAAGTGTCGGGATTATACCATGAGGTCCAGCTGTTTTGTATGGTTGAAAGGAATTTATCGCCCACACAAGTTTTGTTCTGTTTACTATTGAGTTTGCAAGAGACCAGTTTGTTTTTGAAATTTATTATATTATTTTTAAATACTTTTTTGTCAAATTTCTGGGGTTGATGTTTAGAGTGCTTGTTTCCATATTTCCCTTACTGCTTCGTCGATGTTACCATTAACTCCAATATGATTGTCATAATACGTTTTACATATACCCCAAATATGTTCGATGGGGTTAAACTGACAATGGTACGGTGGAATGCGTAACACATCATGTCCATAACTATGTATGACTTGATCTACCATATAAATTTGTGGTGGTTCATGCCGTTTGGCTAAAGTTAACAACTCAGATTTAAGGGCGTATTGTGGAAATGCAACATTTTCGTTACGTAGCCATTCTTGTATTTTGGCTACAGTCCAATTCTTTCTTGGCGGTTTGTTTATAAGTTCTGTGTGATAGCTCGCATTATCTAACACTATAACACCAAATAAATTTATTTTCTCAAATCAGACAACCTCACAAGTTGAAGTTGATAAATCAAACGATCTTAACAAAAAATGTCCTATCGTTGTTATCAAGAAAAAAGTGGACAAACATTTTGCCGACTTGAACCAAATGATAAATCAAGGCAGTGAGGTAACTGACCCGAAACAAAATGAAATAACAAAAATTGATGTCGCATCTTCAATAGAAATAGCCAATACCCAGCAGAAGATAAATGTTTCTACCAACTCAAATGAAAAGTGGACTGATGTTATAAAGAGAAGAAAGAAAAGAAATATGATTATTGGAACAAATAATTCGAAAGGTATACAGGGTGTTCCTAAATGTTCACCATTACACGTATGTAGACTAAAACCAGACACCACCGCTAAAGAATTAGAAAACCGATTGAAGAATAATTTTCCAGAGGTCAGATGTGAAATCTTAAATTTTAAAGGCCTTGATATGTATGCATCCTTTAAGGTTTCTATTTTTGAAAATAATTATAAAAAGCCATGGACATATGGCCATTCGGATCCTATCTAACTCGTTTTTTCGGACCAACCTAGCGGACTTACCTAAATGATTATGTTAAGAAACCAGGTTTAGTCTAAGTCCAATCATTTAAATTAAAAAACATTTTATGCAAATGTACAGAGCTTGACAAATAAAATTGATTTGTTTAGAATATTCTTTTCTGATATGGATTTTTCAATTATTAATATAACTGAACATTGGATGAGTGAAACTATGTTAACTTCAGTAAATTTTTTAAATTATAAATTGGTCGCCCATTATTTACGTGAAAATGGAGCTCATGGCGGAGTTAGTATCTTTATAAAAAGTTTTCTCAAATTTAAAGTTCTTGACTTTAGTAAATTTTGTGTGAATATTCATGCCGAATTTTGCGGAATTGTTCTTTTACCCATAAAAATTGTAATTATTAATGTGTACAGTTCATCCTCAAACGGCAATATTATTATTTTTTTTGAAAACTTTGTTCAAATGCTCGAATATATATCGGATAAATACAACAACATAGTTGTCTCCGGGGACTTTAATATTGATATTAAAAAAGAATCAAATATTCGGGGCCAGTGGTTTAATATTTTGCAGTCTTTCGTAAATATACAGGAAGTTACTTGGCCAGCTTCAAATAGCTGCGTCGACAATATTCTTACAACCCATACTTGTAATGTAAGTAACCCGGGAGTGTTAAACTTAGGTGTTTCTGATTATTTAGGTCAAATTGTAGATCTTGATTATGATATTACTGAAAATGCAAACATCAATAAATTTAGAAAAATCTCGAAACATTCTCTGGATGGTCTAAGACTCGCTCTTGATGAAACAAATTGGGATTTTTTTAGAAAATCCTGACTTTGAGGTACATTATTCAAGTAAAATCTTTTTAAAAACCTTTTGCTCCTTGGTAGACAAATTTTTACCTTTTAAATCAACTTGTCTTAAAACTAGTCGTAATTTCATTAATTTTTATAACGATGACTTACGAAAAAAACGCAATACTTTAACAGCTATAAAAACTATATATGATTGCAGTTAGAAGGAATCTGACCAAATTGCATACAACTGCTACAAAAAATATTATTATAGGTCAATTGAAGATGCCAAAAGGTCAGCCTACGATTCATTTTTAAAAAATTCATCAAATAAGTCGAAATATAGTTGAAAATTAATAAATTTTAAACGAAATGTCACCAATAATAAAAGTTCCTCATGTGATATTACCCCAGAAGTGTTCAATAATTATTTTTCCAGTATTGCAGAATTAATTATATGTTCATTGCCAGACACCAAACATCAGGTTACAGACTTTTTAAACGAAGGTCTTAAACCCCTTGATTCCTTCTTTATTGAGCCAATTGTATCTTTTGAAGTTGAAGAAGCCATCAAAACATTGAAAAGCTCTTCATGTTATGATATCTACGGTTTAAATTCACAAATTATCAAAGAAACGTATAGTTCCTTTTGTCAGCAGTCGACAAGTTTATTTAATAAATCGATTTGTGATAGTCAGTTTCCTTACAGTTTCAAAGTAAGTAAAGTAATACCAATTTACAAAAACAATGATGTAAATCAACCAGGAAATTACCGTCCTATCTTGATAATTCCAATATTTGGAAAAAAATTTAAAATTATTGAACATGTTCCTTGACAAAATGAATACTATCCACAAATGTCAATATGGCTTTAGATAGGGCTGTAGTACTGTTAATGCTATAATAAGCATCGTAAAAGGGATAGTAGATGGTTTTGAGGGGGGTAAATCAACCCTGATAACAATGTGTGATCTCTCGAAAGCATTTGACTGTGTTTCCCACGATCTGCTAATATCCAAACTTGATTTTTATGGAATAAGAGGAACACCACTCAATCTTTTTAAGTCGTATCTTTCAAACAGGAAACAAGCTGTCTATTTAAATGGGCAGTTATCAAATTCCCTTACTGTTCATCACAAAGTTCCGCAAGGATCTGTGTTAGGACGACTACTTTTTATGACTTACGTGAAAGACATATTTAACTGTCCTAAACTTAATACCTGCTTCCTCTTTGCAGACGATATTGCACTTTTGAATCCTCACAGAGATATCGACACTCTTAAAAATGTCAGTAAAATGGCAGTCGCTAAGGCTGGGGAATGGTTTACTACAAGAAAATTAAATCTTAATAAGGAAAAAACCAAATCTTTAATAATTAGTACTAACCTGAAACATGGTAACGCAAATTGTGCCACTCTTCTGGGAATAACACTTGACAGCGGTCTAAAGTTTAACACCAACATTGAAAAGTTAGCAAAAAAAACTAAGTTCTCAAATATTCCTACTTAGAAATTTAAAAAAAGTATAAACGTGGTCACTGTTTTGATGGCTTACCACTCCCTATTTCACAGTTATCTTACTTATGGTAAATACTATGGGGAAACGCATCGAATGCCATACGAATCTTTCGGCTTCAAAAGAGAGTCATACGAATCCTAACTGGGAGCCATTTTAGACTCTTGTCGACCAATATTTCAGACTAAATATTTTACCATTGCCCTTTATATATACATTATACACACTGTCTTGTAAATCCACAAACTAAAAGATACCATACCCTTAAATTCTGATTACCACAACTATGCCACCAGGGTTGGTGATTTAATTAGAACGACACGTTTTCGATTGGAATTATCGAAAAAGAACTCCTTAGATGTTCAACTGTATAATAAAATTCCAGTAAACTTAAAAAATGAAATTTTTTTAGCTTTTAAACGTATTGTTAAAAGTTATTTACATTTGCACTGTTTTTACGACAGCAGTGAGTATTTGAATAGTCAATGGCGTTACTAGACTGATCTGCTTTTTAATAATTCAATTCAGATCAATGTATTATTCTGTTTGTCTAAAATTTTTCTGTTATATACATTTATATCGTATGTTACCTTTATTAATAATTTATTTATAATTTCTAAATTGTATTATACTTGCTACACATGATTTTCATATAGTAGTCAATAAAGTATTCTTCTTTTTCTTCTTCAACATATAAAAAATAAATCTAGAACTAGTTACATCTTGGTTTAACCTTTAGATTTTCTAGTTTTACATTTTTTGATGAAATTATTTTGTAGTCGTAGGAAAAATATTGTACATAACTTATGTAAAACCTATTTTTTACACTCGCAATGTATTATACTATTGCAAGTGTACAATAGGTAAGAATTTTATCAATCCTACTGTATATGTAAACTTATAATTTTTATAAATAGGTATATACCTCACTCCAATTACCATCTCTACACAGATGATACAAAATTATTTAATTATTTGTTTTCTTTATGCAACATCAAATTAGCACTAATACAATTTAGGAAATAAATACAGATTTATATAGGCACATACATTCTAGATTTTAGTTAAAATTGTAAAAACTTAGGACTCTCATTTTGACTCAAACTTTACTGATAGTAATATTCGTATATCAGAGAAAATAAAAAGAATAATCAGCTTCGCCAAGATTATTAATTTATCCCAATGGATTTATTTTTAATCGTGTCATCTGCAAAGCTAATAATATTTGCGTTACCTTCAGCAAAAACAAATCAGGTAGAATATAAATAACGGAGACCTCAATACTGTATCCTGAAGTATACCACATGAAACCATTTTATCGATGCTGGTAATGTTGTGCATTACTGTTTTCTGTTTCCTATTTGTTAGATTTAATTTCGTCAAACTATACTCCTTATACTCATATCGTCAAAGGTAATTTTTAATAATGACATGGCCGACGGTGTCGAAGGCTTTAGCCAAGTCTAAAAAGATTCCTATTCATGGCTTTTTATTGTCAATTAAATAGTAAATTTTATTATTTATTAAGCCTTTTGTTGAACTTTCTTCCATGAAACCATTTATTCAACGTTCCATTACTTTGTCAGGAATTTTCCCTAGTCCAGAAATCGCAGCTATTTCGCCATTTTATAAATGATTACTATTTTAACCCCACTAATAATCCAATGTCTGTCGAAGAATATACCTGAACCAGAGGAATATTTGTTTTCTGTAGTAAGAACGTTAGGTCGCTTGTATTATTTTGGGCACATTGTTCTCAGTTATTCTTTTGTTTTCAAATGACAATAATTCTTAAATTTGGATTTAGTATCGTTATCCAAGCCTAACCGGTTTTCCAGCATTTCTAAATTGTAAAAAATGCAGATATAAATGCAAAAGTCGGAAATATTATAACCCAATTATAAAATTAATGGTTTAATTCAATTTTGCTGATTATTCAACAAGCCCAAACGATAAATATGAAAATGTATTCGAGAGCGCGGCCTTTAAATATTTGTATTATTTGTAAATTTTCATTACGAAATACGAACCGTATAGGTATTTGGTTAAATTCATTGGATAATATCATTATTACGTTTATGTTCGAGGAACGCTCGCCACCGTTGCCAAGTTTGTAAAAGAAATATTCATGAAAGCGTGATTGTTTCCAAGCATTGAATTTGTTATAGATTATCACATAAATTTTATGAATGTCAACCTGGGCAAATTACATCTGGTTTTTAAGACTAAAACTTGTTCATTTGTATAGAAAAATATGGGTGTTTCCACCCATTGTATTTATTGTAGATTGCCATATAAATTTTGTTAATATTAAGTTGGACAAAATGTACATGGTATAAAAGAGTAAAACTTTGTACGTTTTACAAAAAAATATACTGGCTCGTCATTTGCATATTCTATATATCACCACTGAACAAAATATTTGTATTCAAAATTTTAAAAATAGTATGGTCATACGACATATAGAGCTATAAATCAGTAAATAATTCCAAATATTATGAAAATACATATTCAATCAAAAGTTCTAGAAACTTTAATACACGGCTCTTGGTTAGACCGAAATTCAGAATGGGATGATTCGACGCAGCCGTTTCGACGCGGCCGTTTCGACGCGACCATTTCGACGCGAGGACATTTCGATGCCGGCCGTTTCGACGCCAAATGTAAATGTTTAAAGTAAGTAATAAATGT